ATATTTATTTTATTAAAATAACACTTATTAAAATTAAATAAAACTATTATTCATTAAATGCTGAACATTTTTCTGCTATAGTCTGCATCTGAAATGAAACAAAGGTCTTTGATCAATCTGTTACAAGGAAGACAAGTGTTTCCTTACTCATACTTTCCTGGAGTTCTCTAACTTCAGTGTTTTCTTTAGGTCTATTAATGATTATGTTAGAGGAGGTAGGTTGTGAGTAAGTTGTGGCTTATCATCTCCTCTGAGCTCCAGACCTGCATCGCCAGTTGCATATTTCTACCTGGTAATCCCAGTGTTATGTAGGAGCAAGACCTGGAATACAAGATTCTTTGAAGAATTAAGGATGGATATCACTCAGAAGTCAATGGAGAGTCCCACTGGGACTGGGTATGACCAGACAACAATAACATACAACCAATGAGGAGCTTAGAAGAAGGACAGGAATGAAAGATGTTAATCACTAATTGTATGATAGGAAGAAAAGATAGACTGGTTGCATGATGAGGGCAAGGATAGAAAGAAGAAAGCCAGAGTGCAACAGTAGGAGAAAGTGAGGAAGGCTTCCAGCATATTGGATGGACCCCTATAGCCAATTTATGGGAGGGTATGGTCAAGAGTTGCACATGATAAGCAGCTTGTGATCTTCATGGTTAGAGAGACCTCTCAAATCAGTGAGATTATGGATGAATTTAGTTATTCCACTGTCATTTCAAACTCAACATACCCAAAATGAATTCACTGTTCCCCCCCCAAACTGTTTTTTTTTTACTTCCCTATTTCTGTCAATAGAATAATTATCATCCAATCATTCCTATTCAAACCTTAGTGTTGCCTTCGACACTTCCCTCTTCTTTCTCAAATGTAACTTCTTATCAAGTCCTAGTTAATGTCTACGAAATATTTCTTGAATCAGTTCACTGCTCATGACTACTCTTATCCTCCTAGCACAGGGTGCATTACAATCTGATTGAAGTACATAACAACAATTTCCCAAATTAGTTTTCCCCCTCCCATCGTTCCTTCACATATTGCCAAATTAAGCTTCCGTATGAACAGATCTGATCTATGCTGTTCCTCAGCTCAAACCCTTTTAATGACTCTATATTGCTTATTAAATAATGTCCATATAATTCAAGGACCTACTCCTCTCCATGTTCCCAGTTGGATGCACAAAATAGTAGAATTTCAAAATTGGAAGGGACTTGAGGGCCCATCTAGTTCAATCTATACCTGAATAAGATCCTCTCTATAACATAACTTGGTAAGTGGTCATCCAGCATTTCCTGAAGACCTCTAGTAAGGAGGAACCCATTATATCCTGAGGCAGCCCATTCTGCTTTTGGGTAGTTCTAATTGTTGTCAAGTGTTTCCATGTATCAGATCTAAATCTGTCTCTCACATTTCCACTCCTTGCTCTTAGCTCTGTCCTGTAGAGCCAAGCAGAACAAGTCTAACAAACAGTTTATTGGTGCTTATTTCTTTTTTACAGCAAGGTTACTTTTCTTTTTAAAAAAAATAATTTATTTTAGTTTTTAACATTCACTTCCTTAAGATATTGAGTTTTAAATTTTCTCCCCCTTCCTCTCCCCCCCCCACCTAGGATGGCATGCAATCTGATAGAGTCTGTACTTATACATTCATATTAAGCATATTTTCCCATTAGTCATGATGTAAAGAGCAATTAGAACAAATGAGAAGAACCACTAGAATGAAACAATAAAACAAGACAACAAAGGAAAAGGAAAGCAAATAATATGCTTCCATCTGCATTCCGATTCCATAGTTCTTTCTCTGGATATGGATTGCATTTTCCATTGTGATTCTTTTGGAGTTGTCTTAGATCCTTGCATTGCTGAGAAGAGCCAAGGGTTACTTTTCAATGACTTATCCTCCATATTCCTCATTAATGGCTCCTTTCAAGAATCTGCCTTTGCAACAAAGAATTACCGGGGAAAACAAACATGTTGGCCTTGTCTGACAAGGTATGTTTCAGTGGGCAGCCATCATCTATCACTTCTTTACCAAGAAGAGATAGATTATATTTCAGTGCCAGTCAGATTGGTTGCTGCCTTGACAAGAATTCTGTTGTCTTTTGTTTCATCATTATAATATTGATTTTCTTCTATTATCATGCAGATTATTCTCCTAGTTCTGCTTAATTTGCTCTGTATCAGTTCATACAAGTCTTCCCAAATTTCTCAGAATGCTTCTGAGAATATTTTGTTATTCCAATAATTCCAGTTAATTCCAATAATATTTTATTAGCCCACATTTATTATATTCCACCTTTGTTTAGTCTTTTCTTTTCCCTCTTTCACATGACAGTCCTTCAAATATTTGGATAGCTACCGTGTCCTTCCTAAGTCTTCTCCAGGTTAAACATCCCCAGCTCCTTCAATCAATCCTCATATACCATGATCTTAAGGCTTTTTGCCATCCTGATCACCCTCCTGTGGATACTCAATGTTTTTCCTCAATACTCCAGATATAATCTTGTCTGGCTAGAGTTTAATGGAATTAATATCACCCTAATCATGGATGCTGTGCCTCTCACTGAAGCTAGATGCCCTTTTACTATCTTTGTATGTATTTGGGGTTTTGATTCCTTGCTATCTAATTTTTTTCTTTCCTTTCTAATCCAAAGTTAATTTCTTTTGGTAGAAAAAAAATGGAAACAAGCACTGAGGAATTCTGCCTTGTTTCTATAATTCATTGTCATCTTATCTCTGCAGCATCCATATTCCTTCTTTGATCCCCCTCTTTCCCCCAATATAGCATACAACAGCCCTTCTTTGGTTATCCTTCACTTTTCTTATTAGACTTAGTTCATTCTGACACCATTCCTACAGGATCATACTTACTGAATGTTGTTGAATCCCATATATTTGTATCCATCCTTCATTTTTTCTCTCATTTGATCTTTTGTACACAGGTTTTTAAAATTTAAGTTGGTCAGTGAGTTTCCTGTGCATTCACATTGTTCTTTTTAAGCAGTACTCCTTTTTGTACCTCATTTTGGATCTTCAGAATTTCATTGTTAAGAACTCTCCATCTCTCCCAATTTGACTTTCCCTGAAGAATTATAGTGTATGTAATCCTATTTTTTCTCTGAACTCTCTGAAATTTGTCCTCTACAATGTAAGTTTGTGCAATACCATAAGGATTTCTGTCCCATTCTAGCATGAATTCTAAGGTAGGGTGATCATTTCTCTCTGGGGTTCCCTTCATTTCTATTTCATTGTTTTTTCCTTTCTGGAATTAGTGAGGTCCATAATAAAAGCTGCTTTTGTTGCTTCCTTCACCTTTTGAAAGATGTAAACATTAAGGCAAGCCAAAAAATAATTAGCTGCTGTGTTTTGGCAGAAAGAGAATGCCAATAGATATCTGGATAATTAAAGTCCTTTATCATAACTATGTCCTGCTTCTGTGCCAAGTTTTCTAGGTTTCTCCAACTCTTCATCTGTTTCTTAGTTTGTCCAGGTGGTCTATAATGCAATCCAATGATAACATTGCTTCTGTCTCTGCCTCCATAGGACTTCACCTAATACTTTCCACGTGCCTCTTCCTCTGGTTTCTGTGGTTCCATATATGAGTTTACATTTTAAATACCCAATACTGTTTTCTTCCTCCTACTTCACTATGTTAATCTATCTAGATCCTTTTGAATAAAGCACATGCTTCCAAAGTCATATTCCAATTATAAGTTGCATCGTTCAAGTTTCAGTGATAACCTGTGATATCAAATTTGCCTCCTTGAATTAAGATTTTTGGTTCACCTTGGTTGTCCCCCATACTTTGTGTAATTGTATATAGATATTTGAGGCCAAGGTTTTTATTGCTGGCTCCTTTCTTGGAATCTATCTCATGTGAATTTCTGGGCATCTCTACTGTTTTTCTTCTTCATACATTGTACCTACTATCTATAGTATCTAACTTGGTGGAAACATATAAGCAGTCTTTACCCTACTTCTTCCTTTTCAGGTTAAAGCCTCCCACTCTGCTTTAGGAAAAAAAACCCACTAGATTTGCAAGACTTTAGGCAAATTCATTTTTATGAGTCCTTACTGGGTGCACTTCATCCCTGGCCCAAAAGTCCGTTATTCCTATATTTTAAGCCATGTTTCAGCAATCCCAAACCAGTTGTTTTCACACACCATCTTGTTAACCAAATTCACTTCCTATTAATGTCATTCCAAAATGCAGAATTTATCTTTCCTTTTTCTGATTTCACATAGGACATCATTTGTCCCCAACCCCCCACCCCAGTCTCTGTCTTTCTCTGACTGTTTATGTCTCCTATTCTATTCTTTCCTTTAGTTATTGTGTAGTATGGTATATTTGTGTGTGTCATACAATATCTTAATTATCTTTTTGTCTCCCCCAGTGCCTAGTATGTTGCCCACAAGTGGCCATCTAGAGTGGGAAGAGACCTTAGAGATCATCTAGTTTAACCCCTTATTTTATTATAACCTTAATTTTATTCTATTTTATCTTATATTATGTTATTTTTTACAAATGAGGAAACAGAAGGCCAGGGAGAATAAGTAACATGCATAAGGTAACACATCTAATCAATGTACAGTTGAAACTAGAACCCAAGATTCTTTCCCCTCACACAAGACTATGTGTTCTTTTGTCTACTATATCATGCTGTCCCACCTCTTTAGCTTTTGCTTGGGAGGAGGGTCTGGCAATGTGGAAATATACAGTTGATTAAACTGACTGGAACTTCTTCAGAATGGGTAATAATTCCAAGGTAACAATATTAGGTCCTAAGAATTCTCCTTGTGTAAGTAAGCCTACACAGGAAGACTGGATACTCAGTTAGGTAGGTGACAGAGAACAAAGAGAGTTTTTATCTGCCTTCTCTTCCCTTTTCTTTCATTTGTATTTCTTATTTTGTAGGAAATAGAGAAGAAAACAAACTTATTCAGCAATCCTCCACTTCCTCCCTTTTTCCCTCAGCAAACCTTAAGAGCATGTCAACTTACCTTTCCTATAACATCTGTCAGCAGCTTCAGAGCCAGAGGATCATGAACCAGGGAGTCCGTATAAAAAGAACCCAGGTATTTCTTTGGGTCGGTTGAGTTGTCTTGGGCACACAAATCAGGACGCACATTGAATCCATGAGATATTCTCCCCACTGTGAATGGAAAAGCACCACCTACAAAGAAAGCTTCTTATTGAGGGGGCTGATCTTGATTAGAAAAATATATAACAAAGCAGAGAGACATCATTGTCATTGTTGACAATTATTTACTGAGTATTAAATTTATAAGAAATATAGGGTCATAAACCTAGAGCTATAAGGGATGTTAGAGGCTGTCTAGCTGAACCCCTTTATTTCACTGATGAAGAAACTAAGGCCTAGTTACTTGCCCAAGGGTACATCAGAGGAAGGATTTGAACAAAGATGTTCTGGCTCCAGGGATTGTGCTTTTCTGATTTGATACAGGAAATGAAAAATAGACAAGTTTGTTTAAGGATCTTACATTCTAATGGAGGAAAAGTGACAGATGAACCTTTATACAAAGTATTGTGGGAACACTTAGGAATAAAATATTCAGACAAGTATAACAGTAGTGAATATGTAGTTTTCTAAGTATAACCATGGTGTTTATATTGCTCGTAGGATCTAGAACCAGAAGAGGCCAAAGAAAACATCTAGTTCCCCCCCTCATTTTTTAAATGAGGAAATTACATCTCCAAGGTCTCATAGGTAAAAAATAGCAGTGATATGTTTTGAGGTCTTCTCTAAGGCTTCCCTTAGGATGTTCATGTATATAAGCACATAGGGACAGTATATCCTACTGCTTCTCAGGGATAGATGATAACATCTAGAATACAAAAATATGATAGCACAATGATGGAGACAAAATGTAGGTGTGTATGTTTCCCAGAGAGTTTTGCTTTTTTTTTTTTTTAATCTGGGAGGCCTTAAGGCTTTTTTTCTTTTACTTACAAATGTGCTAAAATAGCCTCCTTGTTGCAATGTGGAGGTAAGAGGATTGTAGGTGCTAAAGCAGTAGAGATGAGAACAATTTTATTCTTTTCATTTCCTGCTGGAGATGCCACACAGCTAGCGTGACAAGACTAGGAGTATTGAACCTCTGTGAGATAGAGTAGCGCTGCACACGTCATCTGCTGGACTCCTCAGTATAGGAAGGAATCTTCCATCACATCATCTGACCAACCCCTGGATTGAGTGCATATATTTACTTTATATCTACAGATTGTCCTGAAAGTCTTAGTGTGGTTTTAAGCTATTAAAGTCTGATGATGATAATGATGGTAATAATAATAATAATAACCTACTTACATATATGCATATTGTTTTGCTTGATAGAATGTAAGTTCCTTGGGAGCAGGAATTCTTTCAGTTTTTGTTTTTTTATTTCTTAGTAGTGCTTGGCAAATAGTAGGTGCTTAATAAATGCTTGTAGAATAAATGAATGTTCAATAAGCATAATGAATAAGGTCCTTTTACTTTTTTGCTCCCCCCAATCTATCAGTGAAATTAATCCTCTGAACAATGGCACCAAAAGCTACAATAAATCATAAATTTGACATAAATTAGCTCAATTACTACTTAATGTGTTGACCTTTCCTTCAGTTCCTTTTGGTAATTACTGTAGTGAGGTATTTCTGTTGTCTACCTGTCTTCTACAGTCTTGTTAGAGAATGAGCCACTTTTAATCAAGGGCTATTATTTCAGAAAGAAAAATCCTTCTGTTGATAATGCTAAGACAAAAGAAAATTTCCCTTCCCTTGCCAAGATTCCTGTACCTACTTCCTAGCAATTTTCCTGAAATCATATGCAGTTGATTTTCTAATCTGTTGGAGTTAATAATCTTGAAAAAAGAATTTTCAGAGTTTGGAGGGACCTCAGCACCCGCCTAGTCTAACCCAGATTCAAAAAGAATTCCCACTACAACATACTAAGTAAGTGGTCAGCTAGCTTCTGCTTACAGATCTCTGATGAAGGGGAACTACTTCGCAAAACAACCCATTTCCCTTATGGATCACTCTAGTAATTAGGAAAATTTCCTGACATTAAGCCTAAATTGGTTTCTATGCAACTTCTAATCATTATTCCTGGTTCTGCCCTCTGGGGCCAAACAGAATGAGTCTCCTACTTCCACATGACAACCCTTCTTATACTTGGAATAATTATCATTTACCCTTAAAGTCTTTACTTTTTCAGGATAAAAATATCCAGTCCTTCAACCAATCCTCACATGACATGGACTCAAAGGTCTTGCTGTACTGATTGCTCTTTTCTGGCCACTCTCCAGCTTATCACTGTCTTTCCTAAATAGTGGCAGCCGCAATTGAACACTAGGCTCCAGTTGTAGTCTTACCAGTACAGAGCACAGGGCTATTATCTCCTTATGCCTGAGAGCCCTGCCTTTCAATGCGAACTAAGATTGCATTTGCTTTTTTAGCTGCTACTTCACACTGACTCATATTGAATTTGTAGACCACTAAAGCCTCTGTTTCCCCTCTCCCCCCAGAAAACTTTAGTCTAGCATTGCCTTCTCCACGAAGCTCATGAAACTGATTTTTTGAACCCAAAACTCACATATTTCACATTAATCCATAGATGGTGAAGGCAGCAGGATTGGAGTAAGGAGGAGAGACTGCCCAATCAGAAGCCCAGCTTGGGTTTTCATTTCAATTCTCGTTTTTCTTTCCCATCAGCACAATCAATAAAATTGAGTATTATAAAGCATCATATAGTTCTGCCTAAGATCAATTATATAGAGTGGTGGATATGGTGGATCAGGTCAGCTACAAGAAAATCTGTGTCTTGAGATGGTCACTTAATCTGACCAATCTTCTGTTCTATTCACAGAAGAGCTGATGGGAGTGAACGTCAGTTGATTTTTATAGTCATATATCTTAGATTTGGAAGGGCTCTCAAGAGATCATTTGGTTCAGCCACCTGTTTTTGGGCAGATAAGGCATTTCTTATGTCTATTTTATAAATGACACAAGTAAGTCCCAGAGGTCAAGTTACCTGTCCAAGATTGTAATCATACAGTGTAAGAAAAGATCATAGATCTAGAGCCTGAAGGAATGATCTAGTTCAACCCCCTCACTTTACAGATATGGAAACTGAGGCCCAGGAAGATTTGATGAGTTGCTCCAGGGCATACAGGTAATATTAGAGGTGGGAATGGAAATGAGCAGGTTACAAGGAGAACAAACAGAAGTAGCATTGTTTAGTGGAAAAAGCATAAGACCTGGAACCAAGACATTTGGATTTATGTCCTGTCCCCTGACCTTGACACACTTTGTGTGGCCTTAGATAAACACAAAACCTCTCTGAGTCTTAGGTTCCTTATTTGCAAGTTGATATAATACTTGCACTACCTACCTCATGCACTAGTGAAGAAAGACTGTGTAAACCTTAAAGCTTGATGTAAATGAGAATTATTGTTATTAACCTCAGTGACATAGAGGATCCTTATTGGGGAAGTAACAAGAAAAGAAGCAAAGTAGCACTGGACCAGAAATCAAGAGAATTGAGTCCTAGTGTTGACTCTGTCAACAGATAGTTGAGAGATTTGTAGAGATGTGTAGGAGGAATCACCTAACCTTTCTGGAATCTATTTGTTTGTTTTATCTGTAAAAAAAATCAGAAAGTTGTTCTTGATGATCTGAGGTTTTACACAACTCTAAAATTCCGTTGTGCCTTGAGTGTATAAGGAGGGTCCATTTAATAAAAGACCTTAAAGTGTAGGCTATGGATTTTGAATTTATTCCAAAAGGAAGCCAATTTCCCATTCTCTAGCAGGAGAATCATACTTTGTATTGGATTTTGTCTTTTGCACTTTCTTCTTGCACATAACCTTCTTCAGGGCCGAGATTATGTTTTCTATTCCCCAGTTACAGAACTGAATCCAAAGTGTGCTCTGTCCGTGGTGCTAGTGAAATGTGACTGATTCTACTGTTGCCACTCTGTACTACTTGGGCCAGACTGGCATGTCCGTTTAAGTCCAATGACCTTAAAATGACAGAAAACATTTCAAAACTAGACTAGAGGCACAAATCAGTGGTGGTGATAGTGAGAACAAAGAGATCAATGATCTCTTTGGCATCACTTTTTATGATGTGGAGGCAAGTTTTCTGTATAACCAAGGTGTGTAGAAGAAAGGGAATAAGGGGAGAGAAAGGAATAAACATTCATATAGCACCTACTATGTGTCAGGCCTGTTATAAGTGCTTTTTTTTTAAAAAAACAAATACTATCTCATTTGCTCCTAACAACAGCCCTTTGAAGTAGGTGCTCTTATTCCCATTTTATGACTGAGGAAGCTGAGGCAGATAGAGGTTAAGTGACTTACTCAAGGTTACACAAGTAGGAAGTGTCTGAGTCTGGATTTGAATTCAGGTCTTCCTGACTCAAGTTCCAATGTTCTATTCACTGAGCCACTAGCTACCTGCTTGCTCTAAATCCTATGAATACAATTATTTGGCAAATGATGCCCCTCAGGCTCTTACCTCCATGTGCGAAACACACTTTAAGGTTAGGAAACTTCTTAAAGACTCCTCCCATAATCATGGAACAAATGGCTGTGGTGGTTTCTGCTGGCATGCCTGAAAATAGCAAGCAAAATAGCAATATGCAGAGCTTGTTAGGTTGAATCCTCTGCTATTGCAGAGGAATTGTAGTTTTTTTCCCTTCCAGTTCTTCAATTCAGTAATCTCTTAAGCTTAATGCTCCCATGACTTGATAAATACAGATCATAAAAATGCCATTACTTTGGAGATAATGTAAACTTGCTATTTATAACTTTAAGGTTGGGTTGTTTATGGATTTAAACTAGAATTGAATCAGAAGAAATGGTTTGAGTTCCTGGGTCCTTTGATGATTTATGAATGTGAAAGGCAAGTTGACTTTAGTTTGTCTGTCTCTAAAATGGGGATAATAGCATTTGGTTCCCTTTTTCCTTTCCCTGTCCCTCCCTGTCCTGTATGCCCCTAAGGGGTAAGGTGAAGGCCAACTAGTGTAGATTAATATGAAATCTACAAAGTTCTTTAGGATTCTTGATATAGTTGTTCCACATCAAATATACTGATTGACTTCCCTTCCCTTAGACAGACATTACAAACCATGTTAAGAAGAACTTCAGAAGAGTTCAGTTGAACAGGCATATTTCTGAGTTGTCTGGTCACTAGGGTATAATTCTCAGTGGGGTGGCAGGGAGCTTCATGTTCTGATATTAAAAAAAAATGCAGGCTGCCCTATAGCCCTCAGAAGAACCTGAGTCAACTATCCTGAAATCTTCTCTTATTGGACTCCCCTTTATAAGGAGGCAGACAGGGGAGAGATTTCTGTTCACCTTAAGTACTATTAGGGAAATAATATAATCTCTATCCCTGGAGGTCTTTGAAAACTGCAGGTATATTCATTAAGACTTGTTGACAGCTGTGAGTTTCAACCCTTTTCCTTTTATTAACAGGGATAATAACAACCAAAAAAGCCCAATGTGAATTGCTTCCCTTTCCTTCTGTGGACTCTGGTAGAGTCATAGCAAGAGGTGATATGACTGAAAATGTGCAGAGGAAGAGAAGCAGGGGTCTGGATAATGTATTACAGAGTGGATAATCAGCCCTTTCAAATTTGGCTGCCTGGTTTATGGTACTTGTAGGATCTCATTACAATACATTGAGGATCTCAGTTTTAGGAAGGGAAGCTCTAAGATTACTGGAACGGACTTCTTCCTCACTTCCACCTGGTAGAATCTCTAAGTTTCCTTCAAGACTTAGCTCAGCTCCACCTTCTACATAAAGCCTTTCCTGATCTCACAGCTTCAAGTACTCCAAACAGTCTTGTATAAATTTTGTAAGAATTTTGTAAATTTGTAAAAATCTATATGTGTACATGTCATTCTGACAGAATGTAAGTTCCTTGAGGACAAGGTATTATTTTATTCTTTTTCTTTATATCCTTTGTGCCTAGAACAATGTCTGGCATCTTACAAATGTACTTTGATTGATTGATTGAAGCTGTTATTATGTTATAAAACAATCCAAGAGTCACTTGTTGGACCTAAAAGAGGAATCTGGTCTTTGGGCTTTTGAGAGATGATCTTTCAGAAGTGAAGCCTCCTCAGGGGGTCAATGGTTATTGTTAATAGTTCTTGATTGTTGCTTTCAAAACCCTCCCCAACTCAGACCCTGTCTTTAAATGCTTAGCAGAAAGAATAGCCCTGCCCCCAACCTGAACTGCTTACCCTTGAAAAGCTTCCTGCCTTTTCTTGTCTCTGGGCAAACTTGTATCTTGGTGAATAGATTGTGCCCCCTGAAAGCCCAGCCAATGGGATAAGGGGAAGGGGATTAGGGAGGAGGAATTCACGTTAGGGTATAAATAAGCCTTGATTTCTGTACCCAACTCGTACTCTCTTGGCCCGCAATGGCGACTAAGAGGGTACCCTTTCTCATGAGAAAGCAATAAACTCCTTTCTACTTTCAAGTTATCTAAGTCTTTGTTTTTATTTTTGAGTAAGTGGTCTCTGTCCCACACAGGCTCTAATCTATATTCCTATTAAGGATTTAAATTTAATATCCTATGTTTTAGCTGATGATTGGGAAAATGTGAAGCTATTGCTACACTCCCAGCCTCCAAAACAAATACAAACCCACTAGCCAGGGAAGCCAGTACTTGGCCATCCGTCCATCTGTCTGCATGTCCCAGGGGTGTACAAACAAGGAGCAGTTCAGCTGTTCTGCAGCCTTCAAGGAAGCAAGCAACACAAAAGAGTTTATTTTAGATTGGCCAGAAGCAAAATATCAGCCCAGTTTACATTTGCCTGTAGTGCATCACTCTGGGAAAATAACCATTCTTGGATTCTGAACACAGTAGTGAACTGAATAAGTAAATTCAAGGAATTGGGTAGCCACCTCTTGACTTAAGAGATACATTCATTGAAAAGTTCTGCTTCTGCAAATAAGACTCCCAGGTTGAAGAAATGCAGAAGAGAAGATGAGGATAAAATCAATTTAGAGTTAAAATTGATTTATATTGGCAAAACAATCCATCAAATGCATATTCAGAAGTCAAAAGTTTTGAAGGTTAGAAAGATTTTATCTCATACACCCAGTAGGGGAAAGAGATATAATTTCATAGCCCAAGTATTGGCAGAATTTTCCCTGCTTTCTCCCATGGGTCTCATGGGGTAGGGAGTTTTATCCTGACTCAGAGAAGCCTCTCTAGCTTCTCCATCTCTACTTTTTCAACATGCCAGCTACAGAAATGAGAATACCTTGTATGGGAACTAAGGGACTTATGGGACATGCTACTTTAGAGGTGGAATCAGAGTAGTTTGACCCAAGTCAACTGATAGCTTAAAAATAATAGTGGAATTGTTCTTTCCCTTAGTTACTGGGGCAGCTCCACAACCATAGGTGAGTCTCTGAACCTGCGGGTACAAAGGGAAAACCTTGGTGTATAGGCTGCTCTGCTTATCTCATTGTAAGCAGGTAAACAAACTGGGAGTCAATGGCAAATTCAGACCATTTCAGGAAATGATATAGCCATTAAGAGAGAATACCATTTACAGGGATTTGACAGGCAAAATGTTTGTATTCCAAAAAAAATTCCTAACAAAGGTCAATGGATATTGGAACTATAAGTCTGCCCTGCTTACTATCATTAACTGGATCCATAAAACAATGATGTTCCATTAGTTATTCAGTTAACTAGAATTTATTAAGTTCCTACCACGTGCCAGGCACTGTGCTAAGCACATGGGATACACAGGAAGGCAAAGCACAAGTAACCCTTGCTCTCACAGTCTAATGGGGGAATCTAATGTTTTGTGAAAACAATGTTATAAACAGCAGTTATTTCCACAGGAACAATGATAAAGAGATAAAAAATGAGTGGCATATCAGTCAATGCTATACCAGGGTTCATGAATTTGCATGGAGTTGGGTTTGCATGTATAATGTGGAGGGGCAGAGTAAAGATGATTGAGAGTTAGCAAGCAGTGCAGTGAACTCCTATCCATAAACTCCTCCAAACAAATTTTTAAAAATGCACTAGATCAAATTCTGAAGGAGAAATACAGAAAAAGTAGCAGTGTGTCCTTTGTCCACCTCAGGTCAGCATAAGGACACAGACGGGAACACTGGAGACAGGTTGGTTCAGGAGCATGTCACACACAGAGCATTCTAGTGCCCAGGGAGAGACTGTGCACCAGAGCTAGAGTAGGTGCCAGACCCAGACAGGGCTTCCCCCAGACCCATGCCAGTGCACTGCAACTGGGAGAGGTGTGAATAGGCAGCTTTTTTGCCTATTACCCTGCTCCAGGTCTCAGATCCAGGGCATTCTGATAATATGACTTCTGCCAGGGAGTAGCAGGATATGGTGGCCCTGGAGTTACCAAGAAAGGAGGAAGTTCCACTGCAAAGCAAGCAGCAGCAGTAGGCCCAGACCTCAGGCTCAAATCAGTCTCACTTTCAGCAGCTAGCCCAGATGATGGGAAATAATCACGGTGGGAATCCTAGACCAAAGGGGAAACTGCAATTCTGCTGCTGTAAGCCAACAGAGCTTTCCACCTGGTTTATAGGGCTAAATATAGTAGCAGTCTACTCTTACTCAGACCTAAACCCACATCAGGAACTTGCAGAGCTCAAACTCGGGGTGTCAGCAATTATACTTTGCCCTGGATCAGACCACTCTGGGAGCACTAAAATCTTGTAGGTCTCAAGCCTGTTCCTGAGATCCTAGAATTACACAACATTCAATACCCCAAGAAAGCATCAATAGGACCACCCTAGACCTTCCTAAAAGCAAGTGTGCCCTAAAAGCAAGTCTGAAGTCAGGGAGTAGGCTGAAGGAATGGGAAAAAATAAAAGAATCCCACCATAGTGAGATATTGTTTTAGCAGAAATGCTCGACACAAATGTAGAAGAAAATGACTCAAAACATCTACAAGCAATGCTTCAGAGAAAAATACAGGTTGGACACAAACTCAATGAGAATTACTGGAAGAGATGAAGTAAGCTTTTTAACTAGAAGACTTGACAAAAAAGTATAAATAACAAGAGCACTTGAGGAAAAATTTGGAAAAGAAATGAAATCTATGGAGGAAAGAAGTGGAAAGGGAATTGACAGCTTGGCATAAGTGGTATAAACACTTGCCCAAGCAACTCTCTGAAAATTCACGTGGACTAAATAGAAGCCAATGATTCCATGAGGCAACAATAAATATTAAAACAAAGCCGAATGACTGAGAAAAAACCAGAAGAAAATGTAAGGTATCTCATGGCGAAAACAACTGACCTGGAAAACAGTTTAAGGAGAAAAAAATGAAGAATCATTAGATTATCTGAATACCACAATTAGAAAAAGAGCTTAGGCATATTTCAAGATATCTTAAAAGAAAACTACATAGATCTCTGAATACCAGAGGGCAAAGTGGAAAGAGAAAGAATGCACTAATCATCCCTCTGAAAGAAACACACAAATAAAAATGTCAGGGAACGTCATAGCCAAAATCCAGAGCTCCAGGTCACAAGGGAAAAAATAGAATGTATAATATAACTACAACATGGCTTTGGCTATGGCAACCTTATGTGAGGAATATTTGGATCATGAAACCATAGGATTATAGATCTGGAGTTGGAAAGGATGTCAGAGGCCATCTAGGCAATGTCTCTCTTTTTACCAATGAGGAAACTGAAGCCAGAGAGGGTGAATTGATTTGCCCATGGTTGTACAGATAGTAAGCGTGAGAGAAGGGATTTAAATTCGGGTCTTCTGACTCCAGAGTGAGCGCTCTTTCCCTTGTATCTTATATGGAAAAGAATGTTTTTTCTTTCTTTTATCTTTAGCAGATTTAATAGTCTCATTAAACAGTTAGGTGACACAGTAGATGGAGCTCTGGGCCTCGATTCAGGATGATCTGAATTCAAATACAGCCTCAGACACTCACTAGCTCTGTTACCATGGTCAGGTCATTTAATCTCTGTTTTCAGTTTCCTCAACTGTAAAATGGGAATAATAACAGCACCTACTTCTCAGGATTGTCGTGAGAATCAAATGAGATATTTGTAAAGTACTTAGCACAAGTGCCTGGCACATAGTAGAAACAATATAAATGCTCATTCTCTCCCACCTTTTCCCCGCTATATTGGGATTATGTCAAAACGTGTATCTCAAATAGTCTGTGCAGCCATTTAGTAAATGCTGAATAAGAAAGGATGTATTCTTTTGAGTTAGAAATTTTTAGGATGGTTATGACATTGTGATGAAGTCTTAGGAGCTGAACTGTGTACAGTATCTTGAATGAGTTTCTTCCCCTTAGGGGATGGAGTAGGGTTGGGACTTGTGAGTTCATCTTCATAGAAAGCTTCCTTTTAGTTAACTCCCTTTACCAATGCAAATCCACAACCCCTAGTCCTATAAGTATTGGCTGGAGGACACTGCCAGGCTGTGTAATTTGCCTATCATCACATAGGCAATATGTGTTGGAAATCTCCCTAACTCTGAGGCTGGCCCTCTATCCACTACACTATATTGCCTCTCTCCTTGAGCATAGTAAAAACTCAACAGATGCAAAGGAATTGCAAAGAGAAAAAAAAGAGTCCACGATTTTGTTTTTTTGGTTTTTTTTTTTTGCTTTTTGATGAGGCAATTGGGGTTAAGTGACTTGTCCAGGGTCACACAGCTAGTAAGTGTTATGTGTCTGAGGCCAGATTTGTTCTTCTTTCTTTCTTTCTTTCTTTCTTTCTTTCTTTCTTTCTTTCTTTCTTTCTTTCTTTCTTTCTTTCTTTCTTTCTTCTTTCTTTCTTTCTTTCTTTCTTTCCTTCTTTCTTTCTTTCTCTCTCTTTCTTTCTCTCTCTCTCTCTTTCTTTTTCTCTCTCTCTGTCTTTTTTTTTTTTTGCTAGGCAATGGGGTTAAGTGACTTGCCCAGGGTCACACAGCTAGTAAGTGTTGTGTGTCTGAGGCTGGATTTGAACTCAGGTCTTCCTGACTCCAAGGCCGGTACTCTATCCACTGAGCCACCTAGCTGCCTGGAAGCCATGATTATTATTAATATCCATCTTGTAGAGGAAGGAACACTGGTTATAGAGTCAGAGGAGCAGAGTCAAATAGCACCTCTGTTATGTACTACCTGCGTGACCCTGGACAAGACATTTTCCTACTCTGGTGCTCAATGTCTGTTCCTGTAAAATGAGGGGATTGAATGAGCTCCCTACGGTCCTTTTCATCTCTAACAACCTATGATCCAGAGGTACTATCTTTCTTTTCCATCTACCTTAAATATCCTTGGAGTAATCAGGCTGATGACTCACGTTTATCTGCAAACAGTTAATGAATGAGTAAGAGATGTCCCTAGAGTTCCTCTCCAAAATATCTCCAGGGAACCCCAAAAGACTCTAGGTTTAGAAAATAGAAAGATCAAAAGGGAACCCAGGTGTCTGAGTGGGACACACAGGAAACTTAGAAAAAGAGAGAAAGGTTTTAGTTTAATAGAGGTTCAGATTAGAAAAAGGCACATCCCTTGAGAAACGAGGACAGAGCAGTTAGTTCTGGAAGGAAAAAAAATAGATCAGAAAAAGGATAGATGTGAGGAACTAGACAGGAGGACCTTGATCTCCAAGTAGATTAGGCTCAGGTGTTAGAACAAAGATACCCAAATGACAATGATTTTGTAGGATTTAGAGTTAGAAAAAAATCTTAGAGATCATCTAGTCCAACAAATTTATTCTAGAAATGAAGAAACTAAGGTCCCCAGAGGCTCAGTTATTTGCCCAGGGTTACACAGGAAGTAAATAACAGAGCAGAGGCCACTAGTAGGAGACTTAATTCACTGCAATACATAGTCTATAAAAAAGCAATCTCAGACTAGCAAAGGGTTGATTCCAAGTTGATTTGTTGTCAGTTGCTTGGAATTTAGGATGCCTGTTCCTATGAAAAGAGCATTAGAAGAGATAGTCAGATTAAGCAGTTGCCTGTTTAATCCTAAGCTAAAACATTGGTTGTAATAGTGGCCCAAAGTATAGCTGCATTTTGTATGGCCTCCACAGAAACATATCAGCAGCAGAGGTACCACTTGCTGACAAGAAAAAAGCTACATGGTGTGGTAGATAGAATGTTAGACTTGGAGTCAGGAAGACCTGAGTTTGAATCTTACCTCAGATACTTACTTGTAAGTCATCCCCCCCACCCCAGCTTATTTTCTTCATCTTTAAAATGGGAATAGTAATAGTATCTACCTCACAGAATTGTGAGGATCAAATGAGATAATATATCTGCTTTGCAAATCTTAAAAAGCTACATAAATGCTTGCTATTATTAAAACCCTTGGGTGAGTGGTCATGTATAGTGAGACACAAATTTCTTTCCCTAATGATGTGGAAAAATATAGGCAACCTTGGGCTATTGGTACTCTGCCAGTTACACACAGAATTACTTAAGGCCACCACAACAGGCAGATGCCATACACATGAATATATGGCCAAACCTATTTTGAGTAAGTGAAACCCAACTTTGACCACAGGAATGAAAAAAAAACCACCTTCCTTGCAAATGGAGAAAGGAAACAAGGGTGGGCAAACACACATCTCTGGCCCAGTTCCTCAGAAAGTCATCAGGTAGCCCCAGATATATCTGGCAAAACCTCCCAAAGCTCTTCTGAACTCCATGACCTGAGGAAGGTGTTCTTTTACCTTCTGATGTGAATAGTAGAACTAAAGCAAGAATGAATAACAAAGTAGTCAGTTATAGGTGGGCCAGATGTTTTCTGCTATTACTTCCAATGCTGTGATTCTGTGATACTGTGTGCTTGCAACGAAAATAGTTTAAAATTATACAGTCATAGGCAGTTAGGTGGCGAAGTGGATAGAGCACCAGCCCTGGAGTTAGGAGGACCTGAGTCAAATCTGGCCTCAGACACTTGACACTTCCTAGCTTGCCTGGGCAAGTCACTTAACCCCAATTGCCTCAACAAAAAAAAAAAATAGCTTTTTAGAATTGATGCTTTAGGAAAAATTGGTTTAACTGGAGAGGAATGAGGAAGCTGATGAAGTATTCTGGAGCTAATGAGAGATCAATGGTAATTATATCTTAAATTTATGATTCCTTTTTCTTGGCATATTAGATAACTATTAAGATAGGGTCTTTCCATGTAATTTGATCTGCCTATCTGTGTGTCTGTCTGCCTGACTGTCTCTCTAGCTCCCAATGGGACAAAGGAAAAAAGAGAAGGAGGAAAAAAGAAGGAGGAGAAAGGAGGTTAAAAGGGATTATGAACAAACAAGAAAGTAATTTGTGGAGATAGAATTAACTGAGCTATGATAAGTTCCAAAGTTCATTCAGAAATATATTTGTACAATTCCACTTGAAGGAGGAGAAATGTGAAGAATCACTGGGTTGAACAGTTCCACTACTCTGGGCGCTAAGAGAGCTAGATGGCTAGCCAGAGTGAATAAATCAGGGCAGGAAGCTCCCTGGGGTGAGTAGAGGAAAGGGTGAGAATATTTACCTGGCTACCTACATGTAGGGGACATTTGCATATTAGGTGTTTAAGACTTGGGGAGTGCTTGTGAGAGCTTTTAATATATGAAGATGATACTACTGATCCACCTTTAGAAGAAATGCTCTGACTTGTTCTAATTATATTTACACTCATCTATACACAGTCTCTGGTCTGGTTCCCTTCAGATCAAAGAGGAATATTTATGGTAGTTGATTAGATGTAAGGATGTAATCTTTTCTTGCAGAACATAATGAAGCTTACTGATCTATTTGGGTATTAAAACCATGATCTTAAGTTCACAAGCCTAATTCCCTAAACATTTAGTTAACTACAAGATAAATTATCAATTTATCATAATATAATAGGAGCATTAAATCATGGGTTAATAATTCCTGGCATGAACCCCAGAAGGTAGCAAGTGAGGCCAAGTCCATTTATTACCAAAGAAGGACATAGGACCTGGAGAGATTTGAGCCCAATGTGAATAGAATAAAGATAGTCTATGGTTTGTGTCCATGGACTTGACTAGATCGAAGGTGTCCCTATACAGTACACTAGTCTCAAAATTCAGGCCTCTATTTGGTGACTTTGTAGAAGTCTTTGGCGAGGTGGTGGCTTGTCCTCCCATTGGTGTACATTCTGGTTTGCCAGGCTCTGTCAAAACAAAGAAGTAGCCAATGTAGCCACTACAGCTTGTAGCCCTTTAAACTGGCATGGCTGTCATTGCCCCTCTTCTCTCTTCCATGTCTGCTCTACCCAATTCCTCTTTACCAATGATTCTTTGGAAAGTGAAAGTTGGGAAACTAATACCCTGCAGTTGTGCCAGTTCTGGTACTAGAAAATAATAATAGCTCACATTACAATTGAAGTATGTGAAGTAAATATTTACATATATTATATCTGTTAATCCTCCCAACTTTGAATAAGTGCTGTTATCTCTGTTACTCGGAAGAGGAAATTGAGGCTGAGAGAGGTTAAATGACTTTTTCAGAGTCACATAGCTTGTTGGTGAACCTAGGTCTTCCTAACTATAAGTTCAGTGCTCTATTCACCAAAGTCAGGCAGCCTTACTAGATAAAGCTATGGAACTGCCACTCAAATTAGACTCAGTTATCCCATTCCTTCAACTGGTCTGATCTATCCCGTGTCAGATTTCTCCTGAAGTGGCATTAAGATTAATTAAGATCTTAAATTATAACTAAGGTGTTAACTAATAATTGAAGTGTTAAACCACAAGTGCATTTGCATTTTAATAGGGTAGTTTTAAAGACTGAAAGGTTTAAAAAATTTTTAAATATACTGCTTTCAGAACACTATGGAAGGGATGGCATGACAGTCCTTGTGGACTCAAACTTGACTTAAGACAATCTCTACCCTCAAGGATCCTGCTATAATTAATCATAGGATCACAGATTTAGGGCTGGAATGGACCTTAGAGGCCATTGAGCCCACCTCTCCTTCATTTTACAGATGAGGAAACAGACTGTTAGGTGAAATGAATGCTGGCATAATAGGCATTAGAGTTGAGTAGGAGGTCCTCTCTATCTGCTAGAATTGCACCATACGTATATTACAAGCCCAGATTCATGGAAGTACATTCTGTTTGCCTGAGGAAGATTCTGCCTTTAGTTAATACAGGGTCTAGGAAAAGTGTGCATTTAAGGGTCTCTGCTTCTGAGTGTACCACTCAACTGTGCTCAAGGAGGCTACTTAGAGGAGAAGGAGACATTAAAAAAAAAAAAAGATCTCAGGCACTCCTGAGCACATAAATCTGCCCTTAAAGTCCCTGGAGATTGAAGTGGATGTCTGGAAATAATGCTTTCTCCCCACCACCCTCAGGCTGTGTGTTGATCTTTTCTGTCCTCCCCTTCTTTGTCCTTTCAAGTCTACCTTAGGTGTTCATTTCAAATCAAGTTCACCTGTGTAAAAAGGTTAGGGGTGTTATTGAGTGGTGGAGAGGAGAAAGATTCACACAGTGGATCATCACTCCTGTACCTCTCATCTTGACAATATGGGATTGCCAGACCAGTCACATCTGGCCTCAGTTTCCTCCATCTTAAATTGAAGGGATTTGGCTTAATGACATCTAACGCTGCTTCGGGCTCTAAATCTAGGATCTTCTGATATAGTGACACCAACTTTTAGACAAGTCAGGATCCTACAGCTGAGGGAGAACTTTGCACTTGTATAGCAGAGGTGCCAAACTTTTCGCTGAGGGCTGCAAGCACCCATAAAACTTTGGCAAACAGCCTGAACCAGATCAAAATGTAATCGGAAAATGTTTAACAAAATAAATAAAAGTACGACCCAACATAGTTAATTTGTGATTTTTTAGGACAATGTGACAGTCCAGAGATTCATTTCTAGTTGAGTTTGACCCCAATGACTTACAGCATAGACAGGGAAGAGCTCCTTAGAGTTCAGGTCCCAGTCATTGATGTGGGATCCAATCTGTATCCCAGGAAAACCCAGCTCCTTCACACATCGGTGCATCTCTTTCGCTGCCAGGTCTGGAGCCTGCATTGGCAATGTTCCCAAGCCAACAAACCTCTTTGGGTACTTTGCAACAGTTGCAGCTAAGTCGTTATTTAAAATTTGGCACAGGTCTAAGGTATCTTGAGGTTTGGCCTGGTAAAAAACAAAAAGGAATGAATGAACTAGTTGTGCATCTCTCTATTTCTCTATATCTATAACCCTAGACATGCGCTTTCACTAATGGGGGAAGGAAGAGGAGGAAACAAGCATTTATATTGTGCCTGCTATGTGCCAGGTTCTGTGCTAAGCACTTTACAAACATCTCATTGGATCAGTGTAGGATCTCCTGATATGGAAGTTGTTTCCACTAATTCATCTTGTCTGAAATGTAATATTTTAGAGCAGTGCCTTGGGGAACTGAGATATTAGGTGATTCACCCAGAGCTAGAATGTGTCAGAAGTGGAATCTGAACTCAAATCTTCCTGACCCCAGGGTTGGCCCTCTAAACACCATGCCAAATTGCTTCTTACCCTATAGTGAAAATGTGAATAACTGTTTCTTTAATCCAATTGAAATATCTCACCCAGTCTACCAGCACTGTCATCTGATCTATTTGTGTATCCTGAGGACCTCTGAGTTTTGCCGTTTGCCTCAAGGAAACCCTCTCGGGACTTTGGGGCTCTTCCATTCACTCTGCAGCAGAACTTTCTGGGTTGTTGACTCCCCCTAATTAGAGTGTGAGCTCCTGGAGAGCAGGGACTATCTCCGTTTTTCTATTTGTATCCTTAGTGCTTATAACAGTGTTTGACACATAGTCATTATTTGATGATTTTCATGCATAAATGAATTAATTCATTCATGGTTTCTAAAGTTCAACATTAGATACCATTTCTTTTTGTTAAAGTTTTTTAATTCCAAGAGCCCTCTTTTTCAAATGTACATTGCCCTAGAAAGGGTAATGCTAATGCATTTAAAAATTATTTTACTCTTTAACATGAATGAGTTTGTTAGTTTAGATTAGCAAATCAGTCACCTAACAAGGATCTCTAGAACTGAAACCTAGAACTGGTAAGTTTTGATAGAAAGACAGAGGGGAGGGCAAATCTGCCAAACATTGCTTCCTTCTGAAATTTCACTCATTCTGCTCCTGGTTCTGTGTGTAAAGGAGCAGCCATAAAGGGAGAGGGTAGATGAAGGGAAGGAGGTTTGTGGGAAGAGAGTTGTTAGTATCAGAGGTTCTAATTGCACTGTCTACCAAATGGTAAGCTGTTAGCCTTTCAAATGGACAGTTCAAAGCTTCACACTTACCCAGTAGCTAAACATAACAGGGACTGTAGAAAGGGCTTGGACAGTTACTCCTGAGTAAAAAAACCAAACAAACCAAAAACCAAAACCAAAAACAGACCAAGTCAGAGAAAATACCAGTTCTTTATGTTTCTTCATATGTTATCCATTCCCCCAAGCCTTACCTCCCTTTGAATTCCTACTATTATCATCACTAGTAATCTTTGCACCTTGGTTGAATAGCACCTGGGGCAAATAGCATGAAATCTATCACCACTTCAAATCTATAATTCAAAATTTTAAATAGTACAAACTGGGGGATGGGTGGTAGGAGAGAATCCAGGACACTACTTTGTGGAGGAAAGACTGAGCCCCTGGGTTATTGGCTTCCACTGGGACCCCATACAAGTATTAATACCCTTGCTGGTGAAAGGTCATTCAAAATTCGGGAGAGGGAAGCAGTGTAGAGAGGTAGGCAGGAAGGAGTTCACCTGGTGTGTAGCCAGGGCAGAAAGATGTGTTTCCTAATAGCTTCCTATTTTAAATTATTATTCTGTTTCGGCTAGATGCTAAACTAGTTGTTCTATGTTGCTGAAGGAATGTAGATGTTGTCAAAATGTAAATGTAATAAATCGAACAATTGTACAAACTTTAATCAAATTAACCAATAGCTTATCTATGTTATCGATTCCTGCCCATACCTCCGCATGGTTTTATTAGTTCAATTTATTTTTAACTTTCAATTTTATTAATCTCTCCTTTGATTTTCAGGATTTCCATTTTGGTGTTTAATTGGGATTTTTAAATTTGTTATTTTTCTATTTTTTTTAGTTATATGCCCAATTTATTGATCTTTCTTCACTCCACCATCTTATTTCTGCCCACCTTTCCTCCCCTCCCCACAAACCTTAAAAATCATTATTTTAAAATTTTATGCCCTCTAAATTTTGGTATTCCAAGGAAAAGATTTAGTCATCCCTCCCTAGTTACAATTCTGGTTTCTCCTTTTCCCTACCCCCACATGAATCCAGATTCCTTTATATTGGGTTTAAAGAGAACTCCTCTAAATACTTAAATACCATTTCATCAGGGAAAGATTATGAGTAAGGTTGACCCTGAAAAGTGGGGCTTGAAACTCCCAGCTTGTGTTCAGTCCCATCCTATGATGACATGCCAAATACAATCTCCGTGCCTAAAATCATGCCAAGCCTTGGTGGTGGACAGGGGGATCCTCACTCTAAAAGATGAAATGAATTGGCACTATTCCCTTCTCACTTAGACTCCTAGAAATAGTTAATATAGGCAGCAAGTATTGTGTCTAGAATCACTTCTTGTTTGTTTGTTTGTTTTTGGTGAGGCAATCAGGATTAAGTGACTTGCCCCAGGGTCACATAGCTAGTGTCTGTGTTAAGTATCTGGGGCTGGATTTGAACTCAGGTCCTCCTGACTCCAAGGTTGGAGTTCTATCTACTGTGTCACCTAGCTGCCCCTCTAGGGTCACTTTTAAAGTGGGTTACCAATCTCTACTGATTTTCTTGTTAATGGAGTGAAAAGGGCACTGAATTCGGAGGTAAAGACCGTCACTAATATCTGTAAGCTTTGGGCAAGTCACTATACAATACTTCTCTGGAGCACTTCCTTCTTCTTCAGTGGTGTCCTACGTTTGCTTCTCTCTCTGGGGCACAAGTCCTCTCCCAGTCCCCAGCTGCTAGTTCTGTAGCATATACTATACCAGGATAGTCTTGTTCCTCCCCTGGGTTATAATACCAGATGAACCACCTTCTCTACCCTTCTAGCAAAAATTACACCTGGCTCTGTTAGGTGATAAAACTTGCTGCTTCCTTTCTGTTGTCCTGTCCTTCCTCCTCCCTCCCCATCCACCACAGGGCTTGGATGGGTTTACCACTCCTGATACTGTTCCTTAGGCCTAATTCAGGCACCGGTCCCAGGCCCCTTATTATTCCATTCTTTTTCAGCTTTGCTTTGGGGCAGGTGATGGAATGACCCTGAGGACACTAATTAAACTTTTCTTCCCATGAAGATGACACAGACAGATTTGAAACTCCTTTCCTTAGAGCTTACCATTTTAACTCTTTGTCCCAAGGACAAAGGGACACAGAATGATGAAATGAAATAGAAATGGGAAGGGGGGGAGAGGGAGAAAAGCAAGAAGGACATTTTTAAGTTTAGTCATAAACAGCTGGTTCATGACACCAAATACTCTGAGTTCTGTCTTCTTGAGTTTTCTCCTTGGAGGGGAAGAGATTTGAAGTAGCTTCACTTGAGATCAAGTCTTGCTGCCCACCTCCAGGGAAAGGCTTTGTCTTTTCTCTCTAGGTAGACTTCTAAAGTCCTTTTCCCAGAAGCCATTGCTAAGGATATTTCCTGCTATTTATTGATTTTGAGCAATTAGACTAGCACAGGGAGGTCCTGGGGAGACTACCTCCTCAATGTGCCTTGTAAGCCTGAAAGCTCAATAGAAATGTGGAGTTTGCAATACCTACAGGGCCGCATGTGGCCTCGAGGCCACAGATTCCCCACCCCTGGTCTACACCAATATGAGTCCCACAATCCCTACATTCCCCTATAGAGAAACATTTTTGGCTTGAATTCAGTTACTTGCTTGGGATTTTAATAATAACAATAACAAAAATAGCTAACATTTACATAGCTCTTTAAGTTTTACAAATTTTTACATATGCTATCTCATTTTATTGTCACAATAACCCTATGATTTACATATGAGGAAACTAAAACTTATTGATATTGATGGATTTGCCCAGAGTCATAGCAGCTTATTAATAAGTAGGATTTGAATTCAGGTCTTTCTCATCTCAAGGACAATAGTTAGCAAATATGCAGCCTTACTTCACCAAATTAAGCCAAAACAGGGACTTGTAATGAGGGTAAAGGATGGGAGGTGTACATTTTTTTGTACCTTTTCTGTGTTAATCTCACCGGGAGGACAGTTTGCTTTGTTTATGTCTTTGAATCCCCATTGCCTGAAGTATAGTAGACATTTAATGAATGCTTGTCAAGAGTATGTCTACATAGTAACCTTGCAGTTAGCTTGAAGAGGGTGTGGCCAAATCTCTGTTTCTTGAAATCCCAAACTATTATTATTGTTATATCCTATCTCAATCAACAAACTTCTAGAGGATAGCTGTAGTTATTACAAAATAGTAACCTACCTGTTTGATCCATTTCTCTAATACGAACTATTGGATCCCAGCAGTTTTCTTGGACAATTCGGAAGAGCTTTCCATCTTTCATCATTTTGGCTCTTCCCTAGGATAAAAAACTTTGGTCAATAGAATGTGAACCAATGTGGCTGGTATGCCTTTGGAATCAAATAAAAAGACTACAGCTTTAAGATTTTGCAAGGATTTTCCCCTTAAAAATTGTAGATTTTTTAATCTTAGAAATGGAAGTGTATTTACGTATGAAAAGCTTCCTGACTTCATAGTTGCTTGGAACTGTACATATGCCCTTAAATTCCACAGCTAAGTTTGGGACAAATAGCTCATTTGATTAAAGCCAGGTGGCAATATAGACAAAGTTAATGTTCAAGGGATTCAGAAAGTTTCCCTGTGTTTCTATAACTAAATATTACTAACCATAGGATCATTGATTTAAAGTTAGAAGGGATTTTAGAGGACATCTAATTTAACCCCCTCATTTTTTTTAAGTGAAGAAGCTGAGGTACTGAGAAGCTAAGTGACTTGCCCAAAGTCACATAGCAGGATTTAGAAGAACAATAACTAGCATTTATATAATGCTTTTTGAGTTTTGCGAAGTTCTCCACAAATATTATCCCATTTTATCCTCAAAGCAACTCCAGGAAATAGTTGCTATTATTACCCCCATTTTACAGATGAGAAAACTGAGGCAGACAGAAGTGACTTACTCAAGGTCACATAGCTAGCCAGCATCTGAGGGAGAATCTGAATTCAAATCTTCCTGATTCCAAGTTCGGGGCTCTATCCACTATGCTAAGCTACCCCTCTCTTTTTAGGAGCAGCTAGGTGGTGCAGTGGATAGGGTGCTGTCTCTAGAGAGCTGTATAAATGTTAGCTATTATTATTGTCACAGTTGTTTTGCAAATGTTGACTTTGTCATGGGAAAAGATTAGGCAAAGGTGAGAATGGATCACTTTGGAGCTGGGAGATACCTTATGCCATGTAGTTCAAGCCTCTTATTTTATACTTGAGGAACATGAGAACCAGAGAAATCATAGGATTGGAGACTTAGAATTGTAAGGGACCTTTGAGTCCACTGAGTCTAACTCCCTCGCTTTACAGATGAGAAAATACCGAGGTACAGATGGAACAAGCAATTTTCCCAGGGTCACAAAGCTACAAAATATCTGAAATAGGATTTGAATCCAGGTCTTCCTGACTCCAGTCCCCTCTCCGCTCCTCAGGGCTGTCTCTCACGGTGAACATTCTTGCCTGAGGTTACACAGCTAGTTAATAGAAAGACTAACATCTTTTCATGTTTCACTTTTTCTTCTGGACATAGTGCCTTTCTGAAAGTTATTTATGTGATGCCTCAAAGACTAAAGAAAGACCTTTGAATCTCTAGTGGGAGACCAAAGTGCGTGTGATCAGGTTAAAGAAAAACCCAACAAAAATACTGTCCTCTGATTGGCTGTGTCCTCCCCTCCCCTCTCCTACCTCCTTCCCCTTCCAAGACTTAATTTTGAGCTCTATCCTTACCCAACTTGAACTACAGCTCTTTGCCTTTTCCTTCTCACTTTATGTACTTGATCTGCCCCAACTCTTTCATCTAAAACTCAGGCTACATTTCACCCACAAAGTGAATTCAAGTCTCTTTAACAGACCACAGACTGAGGAACAACGTTTGCATTCCCCCCCCCCCCCCGAACAATAACTCTTCAGAGTCATTGAGCAAGTGACTTGTGAAATCATGTCACAGAGAACAAACATAACATTTATATCTCAGAACACTTGTGAACTGGTCGTCAGCACCAGTATGTTGGTAGGATTGATTCGATTTCAGTTGTAAAGCTATGAGTGAGTTATAAGCTTTTTTTAAGAGGAAGAGGAGAGGAGGTAAAATACAGAGATGGCATGAAAGAAAAAAATCTGGGAAATATATTTCATTTGTCACATGAAGGATTCTCCCCTCCTGCTCTTCCCTGCTTAGTATTAGAATGCTGTTCAGCATAAAAGAGTCCTTAAAAGTTATTCCTCCGAAGAAGGAAATTATTCCTATGGAAACCATATTTATCATTGTATGTGTCCAAGGAATGTTAAATCTGGAAGGAATCTTAGAGATCATCTAGTTCTGTGCTTCTCCCACAGAATTATAGTCAGAATTTCGAAGTTGGAAGGGAGGAGAGTGATTTGTCAATCAATTAATCAAGAAGCATTTTATTAAATACTTAGTATATGCTAGGCACTGTGGGGTAAGCACTAAGGATACAAAGACAAAAATAAACACTCTGCACTCAAGAAGCTTAAACTCTATAGGAAAGAGGTAACAGCTACACATATAAGCAATGTAAATATAAGGTAACATTCAGGGAAGAGAGACTAGCAGCTGAGGGAGGAGGGATTAAGAAGGTCTTATAAAAAAGAACTGACATTTGAGCTATTATGACTCGATCAATCAACAGTATTTTTTATAATATGTAATACTAAAAAGTATTTATTAAGATCTTACTATGTGCAGGAAGGCATTGTACTTAATGTTGAGCATATAAAGAAAAATAAAAAAGCAATACTTGTCTATAAAGAGCTTATACTCTAATGCGGGAGACAACATTTCCATAAAGAAAATATATAAAAGATATAGACAAAGTAGGCGGAAAGTAAAGTGGCATTTGAGCTGATTCTTAAAGAAGCAAGGGATTCTAAAAGGTGGAGGTGAGAAGATGGAGACTCGTGGGCAAGAAGGGCAGCAGACAGGGCAAAAAAAAGAGGTATATTCTGTGTGAGGATCAATAAGTAAGCCAGTATGGCTCTCTATGGGAGAATAATACCATGTTAACCTCCCTGTTTCTTGGGTCTCTGTCTCTCTCTACCACCAAATGAATTTTTTAAAAAAACTTGACTCGACTCATTGCTCTGGCGCATTTTGTGAAATTTGCTTCCGGAAAGTTATGAAAATGCTAGTTATGACTCTAAAGTCATGATACCTGGATTCTAGCCTGGGTCTTTTCAGTAATTTGCTGGGTGAATCAGTTAAGTAATTTCATCTCTTTATGCCTTGGCATCCTCATCTTTAAAGTGTAGGGGATGGACAGGATAATTCTGAGGTTTCACTGTATTCTAACGTGCCATGGAAAGCTATCAAAATTGGATGTAATCTAATTAGCAAGTATTCTGTTAAATTCAAATACTTGATATTGATTTATTATTCAGGACTTTATTTCTGTTCTTGATATTTCACAGTCCCATTGACTATATCACAAGGCAAATAGCTAGAATGACTAGACTGAAGAAGCAGAAATGGCTGAAATCAGGAACTAGCACCTTTCTGAGACTCCCTTTCTTAGGAGACTTTCACAAATCTCTAACTGCCTTTTGGATACATCCACCTGAATGGCTTGTCATCACCTAAAATTCTTCATGTCCAAAACAGAACTCATAATTTCCCCCCTAAAGTTTCAACCATCCAGTACCTTCTCTGGACTTATTTATTTCTAACAAAGAAAATAATTATTCCAGTCAAGCAGGTTCAAAACCTTGGATTCATTCTCAACTCTCCCCTCTCCTACTTCCTTCTTCCTGCTGCTTTCTCTTCTTCCCACATCCAGTTTGAACATTCCATCCCTCACACTGATGTTAAATTAATCTTCCTTATGTGTAAACTTCCTTATGCATAATTGTCTTTATGCATATGATAGTTCTTAGCTCATGACTCTTCAATGAATCCCTATTGCCTGTTAAGAAAATTAAGTAAAGTTCAAATTTCATTGGCCTGGCATTCAAGACTTTGACAGCTTGGTTTTATCCTGTTGGTTTTGCCTTATCTGGTAGTAGTACCCTCTTCCACATACTCTGTACTTTATTCAAACCTTTGACTCTCTGAAGCTTTCCCACCTCCATACATTTGCTTATATTATTTCCTATGTGTGAATATTGCCCTCCCTTTCCATCTGGTACCTGCTGAATTCCTATCATCCTTCAAAAGCCAACTCAAATGCCGCCTGTATAAAAGTTTCCTTTGTAACCCCTGTTAGCATTACTTAAACCTTTGCCTGACATAGCACTTTAGTTGCATCTCTAATGTATTTAACATATACTCTTTTGTATTATAGTCATTCATGTATGAATTTAAGCCCCCTACTAAGTTGTAAACCTTTTCAGGGAAGGGACAGTGTTTCATCTAAACTTTGTATCTGTCTCAGGCTTTAACACTGTACTCTTTACATAGAAAGCATTTAATTAATTTGCTAAATTTTCAACAGTTAACAAGTCATTTCAATTCTTTTATAAAGTCTTTCATATTTATCTGCCCTTCCCATTCCCATTGCCAACAACTTAGTCTAGGCCATTAGCACATCATGCTTAATTGAATCTGGTCCTCTAGCTAATTTTCCTACCTTTAATCTCTCTCCATGCTAGTCAGTCCTAGAGAAACAGATTAATCTGTTTTAAATATAATTTTTATCGTGTTGTTTATGTGAATAAAACCCAAATTTCTATGATTGGCTTTATGGTCCCTACCTACTTCTACTTTATCTTCTTATGTGGGTCATAACTAGAATAGGCCTATGAGGTGTATGGGTGTGGGTGGGGGATTTGTTCAAGGGTGGGAAATTTGTCCCAGAGAAGGAGATTTTTAAACAGTTGAAGACAAGAGATTGTATTCTTCTAAGTTAGAAGGCTGTAACAGATCCTTGAATTAAGAAACAGGTGGAGCTGTGACTTTGTGGAGCCTGTGAAAGGATAATGAGAGTGGAGACAGGAGCAGACTCCAACTGGGTTTCCATCTTGATGGCCTTTTAGGGTTCTTCAGGGAGAGTACTAGGTATGGTGATATCCAAGCTCAAGAATGAGAAGAGAGGCATGGCCCTGGTGCTGGAAGTTCATCATCTCACTGTTAACTCACCACCTCACAACATTGTTCAACTCAAAGGCATCCAGGGTACCAGCAGAATTGATCTATGGCAAGGTAAGAGAAGTGAGGCTGCTTCCTTCATCACTGTGACTTTTTTCCCTCTTAAAGCACTGTTATACCCACTACTTAAAAATTCCTGAGGAGTAGAAGGAGGACCTTAGGTGAGATGAATTTGGGGCATAAGGTGGATGTGGAAG